TGGTGTGGTGGTGTGGTGGTGTGTGTGTGGAATTACTGTACATTGTCTCTTGTGTGGATTGGGAATCATGTCCAGCAGCGCTTGATTGTGTCTGCCGGCCTGTTCGCGGTCCTGCTCAACACGCTGCAGCTCTTGGAGCGTACTTCGGGCGGCCCAGTTCCCGTTTTCGACGGATCGGCTGGCCCACGTCTTGGCCTTGGTCAAATCCTGCGGCACGCCCAGAGCGCCGCGGGCGTAGAGACAGGCCAGGTTGAGCATCGCCACCGTTTCGCCGCGAGCGGCCGCGGCCAGGTAGTACTCATGCGCCTGCTTCTCGTTCTTGGCTTCTCCATGGCGGCCACTTTCGTAGAGGGCACCCAGCGAGTTGAGGGCCGGAGCGTAATTGGCGTCAGCCGCGCGTGTGATGAGCGCCAGGGCCTTCTCGAGGCTCTTTTCGCCAAAGAGGCCGTCCAGGTAGGCCTTGCCCAGAGCGTGTTGCGCATTGGCCACACCTGGGCGCGCGGAAAACAAAACGAACACAATTAAGACCATTGAGTCAGTCACACACACACACAACACACACACACACACACATGCAAAACACACACACACACACACAACAAGAGAAGAAGAATAACTTGACTGAAAACTTACCAATGTTGGGCAAGGAGGTCAGCTTGTCCATGGGTGGGTGGGTGACGGCCTGATTCAGCAGCCTCTCACTCTTTTGCAGGTTCTTCTCCACGCCAAGGCCCTCTTGGTATAGCACAGCCTAGTGCCCCACGTCATGGTCAACCATAACTGTGAGGTGAAGAACGAAGAACAAAGAACAAAGAACAAAGAACGAAGAACGAAGGACGAAGAACAAAGAACAGAGTGAGAGGGTAGAGAATGCATGGACCAGGTTGTACATGGCCTCAGGCGAGTCATGGTCCACCCCCAGCTGGAATAGGTGTGCGGCCTTGGCGTAGTCAAGCTTGGGCTGCATCATGTAGGTGTGTGCCTTGGGCCAGTTGCACTGCACAAACAGGACTTGGCCTTTCCTGAAGTAGCCCTCGGGCCAGGTGGGCCTCAGGCACTGGGCCTCCTTGCCATCCAGGAGAGCACAGCTCAGGTCACCATCAGCCAGGTGCGCCGCCAAGCAATTATTGGCTGCACTCTGGAGTGGGTTGAATGTGATGATGGCTGAGTGATTGAAGGAGGAATGTTGCGCCAGTGTTGAGGAAACCAAGTATACTACCACTAGCACAAGCAAGATGGCCATCCTTGCAGAGATAGACATGGTGGTGGGGGTAGGTGAAGGTGGAGTGAGAGGAGATGGATTGAACAAGAATACAATGTTATTCACACTTGTGTTGAAGTACCAGCGTCAGCAGTAAAAACAGATTGGACAACTGCCAACAATGTCAATGTGGCCACAAGGACAGATAGCGAGGACCATTGGCCTGACATGTGAGTGGGACATTGCCCTGATAAAATATCAACTCCAACCCCCATGGTCTTTGGAGTGCTTAAGTTTGTGCTTCAGTATCCTGAAGCTCTACATTTTGTCTGCCTCCCACTCCTGCCATGACCAACTTTGTGTCTCTTGTGCTGCTTGTGTTTATTGTGTCAATTGCGTTTTTGGTGGCTGTGCTGGTGGCTTCAGCATCTGTGGCTCAGACCAAGGCCCCTGACACGTTCCTGTTGACCCTGCAAGCGGAGTGCAGTGCATATGTGGCGCCGCTCAAGTGCTTGTCCTTCTTGATGGCCTTCAAGTGGCCACTCTCCATACCCCACCCCCGACCACTTGGCCTGGCCCATTGGGATGGAGTCTCACCACCCACTTTCTTGCTTGCAGTCTTTCCATGTGGAGGGTCCAGTTGTTCCCTAGACGCAACTGGTGGCAGTGTTGCAACCAAGCATGACATGCTCTTCAATGCCAAATACACCACCAACTGGACTGGTACTTCACTTTTACATGCCTGGTTGATCACAAAGCAACAAGAACAATCACTAAGAACACTAATCATTTCATCACCATCTGTAGTTGAGGTCAACTACAACAAGCCAAACCAGCCAGGCTTCTCTCTGCACGCCTGGTGGATCAAAACGCCCTTCACCTTGGAAGGCCTTTTGCCAAAGGACCACCCCCACTTTAGTGTGATTGCGCCCTTTGCCCCAGAGCACCTTCCCTGTCCTGGTGCTGCTGCTGATGTGAACTGCACCATGGTGTACTTCCCCATTGTGATTAGCTACAACAGCAGTGGGCTGAACATGACAACAACCTTGTCAGCTTGAAGAACCACACAAGGGGATCTGGATATAAAGTATTTTGCGTTTTTATTTTATTTTATTTTTCTTGTTCAAACAACAAGGGGCATGAACACTGCAACAAATAAGTACACAAATTGCCTGTGCTTACATGCCCCTGCACCCCAGTGTGTATTTTTGATTTACATATCCCTCTGGTTGGGCAATGTATATTTCTTCCTGTATTGGGGCATTGTAGCACAAGATAGCATTGATGAAGGTGATGAAGTAGTGCAATCCTTGTTGAGTAGGTGTCTGAATTGGACTGCAAACATTGCTGTGCAGGACCTGCAACTGGCATTCAGATTGTGGTACTGGGCCTTGATGGGTTATTGGTTGTTGTTGCTTCTTGTTGATGCAGGTCAGGCACTGAGAGAGTTGGTGGCCTTGATGTGGAGGCGCTCTTTGCATGTGTGGCTGAAATAGTGGTGAAGAAGGTTGAAGTTGGGAGCTGGTGTGTGGGTGGTGAAGGCAAAATTGGTGGTTCTGGTTGGGGAAGAACCTAGTGGTAGAGCCTAGTGTTGCCTCAAGAAATGGCTCCCTGGCTTTATTGATGATGAGGCATTTGGTGTTGTGAAGGAGACTGACATGATTGTTCCTGAGTGACTGAGATGGGATCAGGTTCTTGCTGAAGGATGGGATGAAGAGCATGTTGTGGAGCTCCACATGCTTTGACTTGCCATGAATGATGGTGATGCCCCAAATAGTTCGTTGGCTATGACTGAGTCATCCCCCAGAACTACAGGGTGAGGGGTGATGGGCTGGAAATCATGGAGGACATTACCTTTGCAGGTGACACTCACCAACACGCCAGAATCGAAGTACCAGACATCACACTAATCACAGCCCATGACAAGTGTAGAGGGCAACAAACTTGGGGACCTCAGCAACATTGACAAAGTTGTTGAGTCACTTGATCTCATTCACACACTTGCAGTTCAAGGCCAAGTGACCAGGGAAAATCGCAGAATGCACATTTGATGACACCAACCTTCTCACCACCACCAGATTTTCCAACCATGTTTCCTTCAGATCCTTTTCCTCTTCCTTTCTGATGTCAGGGTTTTTCATACTTGGATTTGAGGCAGGAGAAGACAAGACTGCCAGCACATGGTCCTTCAAGGGTCTAGGTTTGTTGGTCTCAAGTAGCTCTACTTCACACTGGACCAGCAGCAACCTGCTGGTGGTCCTATCAAGCTGCTTGTTGACTCCACCAACTTCAATGTGTTTAACAGTTGAGTGGTACTCAGCAGGTAGCCCTGACAGCATCACCATGATCATAATTCAGTTGTTGCAAATCAACATGAAGTGCAAGCTCTTCTGTGATGATGTTGAGATGATTGAAGTATATGGTGAGTTCCTCCCCTTGCCCAAGCTTGAGTTGGTGTAGGCCAGAGGCAATGTTGAAAAGATGCTTCTAATTTAATGGTAGGTATTTCTCTTGAAGAAGCTTTAGGAGCTTGTGGGGGTTGCACAGGCCATCAGAAGTTTGAGTATGGTCTTGAAGAGTCTGACTGTTGAACAGAAAGATGAACTTGTGGGCAAATACCTCAGCATCTTGGTCCTGATGATGATGATGATGACTGGGGTGCAATGGACTTGGACTTGACCTGCTTCTCTGGCTCTGTGTACTTTTGTTGGAGGTACTGCTTCTCCTCCTTCTGCTTCTGTGGATGCTTTTGCAGGTGTTTGCCTTCTTCCTCACTGAGTCCTAGAGGGTCTCAGATGAGAACATGTCATCATTGTCTTTGTCCTTGAAGTAGAAAACGCCTGGTGGAGATGATGAGGGGGTGACTTGACTGTGGCTGGAGTTCTGAAGATGGATGCTGTTGGATTGACACAGATGCACACCCACACATCTTTGGCATAGAGGTACATCTTTAGTTGAGTCAACCAGTCATGATAATTGGCTGATGACTTCAATGTGGGAACACTGAACAATCTGTTTATTCCTAGCATAATGCTGGAGAGCATGGGCCATAACCTGTTGATGTTAGTAGTTGATGCAGGAGTTGGTAAAACAAGAAGTGTTTATTAATTGTTAGATTTCTGTCTTTCTGGTAGTAAAAGAGTGTGAGAGAACTTAAATCTCTGACTTTAGTAAAAGTGAGAAATAGATAATAAAAGATCAGACAGATACACATAGTTTTAGTGTAGAGGCCTGTTGCTGACGCTGACAGGAAATGCACCTGGGCATGTTGGTAGCATTAGTGTGTAACTTAGGTTGCACACACATTGCACTGTCCCAGAACACAGAACCGTGGGAATTTAGTGTGCCCTGAAACAGCTGACAACATGAGAAAACAGCTCTCCATGACAACCATGCAAACCTAAATTGTGGCCAATGTCACACAGGTAATCACCTTAGTGCAGCAAGACCATGAGCACAGCAACAAAGGGGATGAGGACCACAACACAGCAAGGATAGGGACAAGGAGGGTGATAGGATGGAGGAGTGAGGAGACTCACATGCAAGAGGCCATACACAAGACCATCAATAAGCCACAAGGCCCATTTTCTCAGTTTTAATTGGCCCTTCTATTGTGGCAGTGATGCTGACAAAAAGAACTTTGCCCTGACCAAAATCTGTACAATGAGGTGCTGGACAGCTCTGTACTTGGCCACAAAGCCCATTTTCCGTTAATTTTCCACTATAAAATTGAGGGAAAAAAAGATAATATTGCGCCCAAGACAAGATGGAAGAGGACACAAATAGCGAACTGCACCTGTGGGCGCGCTACGTGAACCCGGTGCTGGCCGGCCTCTACGCCGCGGCGGGGCTCGACAAGCGGTTCGTGCGGGCTGACGGCACCCACCTCGAGGACTCCACGGGGCGGCGCTACCTCGACTTCCTCGCCGGCTACGGCAGCGTCCCGCTGGGCCACCACCCGGCCGCCCTGTGGGCCGTCGTCCACGCCGCCGAGCAGTCGCGCGAGCCCATCTTTTCCATCCCCGCACTACTCGACGGCGCCGGCCGCCTGGCTGAGGCCCTGGTCAAGGCGGCCGCGGCTGAAGGCAACAACAACGACGACGAGGCAAAGCAGCAGAGGCAACTGCGATTCGCCATGTTCGCCAACAGTGGGTCGGAGGCGGTGGAGTGGGCCATTAAGCTGGCCCGCACGCACACACAGCGGCTCGGTACCTTTCACCGACTGCCTGCGCTGATGACTCCTGTTATGGGACTGACGCGTGTGTGCGTGTGCGGTGGTGCGTGTGCGGTGGTGTGTGTCGGGCAGGTGTGCTTTCGACGTGGAACTCATACCACGGGAAGACACTAGGGGCTCTCTCGGCCAGCGGGCGCACCCAGTACCACGGCGTGGGCGCGCCAGCCGAAGGCAAGCTCACACCCTGGCACACACTACACTTACGACGCCACGCATGCACGCACCACACACGACACGACACGACACAACCACACACACGACGCACTCTCCTTCTCTGCCACCAGTCTCATCGCGGCGTTTCGCCCAAGAGCAGGTTTCGAGTTCGTCGCGTTCGGTGACGCAGCAGCCCTGCGCGCCAAGTTCGAGGAGGCCCGTGACAAGGGCGCCCAGTACGCCGCCTTTCTCGTCGAGCCCATCCAGGGCGAAGGAGGTACGCTGACGTCACAAGAGTGCATTCAATTTTTATGTTTTATTATGTTTTATTAAATTCAATAATTATATAATAAATAGCTGGCGCCAGACTCACCCTAATCAGGCATCGTGGTCCCTCCCGCGGGTTATCTGCGCGAGGTGCGCGCGCTGTGCACTCAGTTCGGGGTACTCCTCATCGCCGATGAGATACAGACAGGTACGTGCGAGTGGGCAGGCTAGAGTGGCGGTCAGGTGAAGAAATGATGTTGTCTCACGCGTGTGCCGTGTGTGCCGTGTGTGTTCCGTATATCTTTTGGCCCGAACACCAGGGCTTGGCAGGACGGGCCGCTTGTTCGCCTACCAGCACGACGACATCGTGCCGGATATCGTCGCCCTCTCCAAGGCCCTAAGCGGCGGCATGTATCCCATCGGTACGATTCTTGCGCGTGTGCCGTGCCTGTCCTGTGTGCGGTGGTGCCTGTCCTGTGTGCGGTGGTGCGGGCGTGTGCGTGTGCGCATCTCAGTTCGACGCATGTCGTGTTGGTCGCAGGGGCGATATTGTACACGGAGGACTGCATGTCGGAGGAGTACCTCTTCAAACAGAGCTCGACCTTCGCTGGCGGGTCGCTGGGCTGCCGCATCGGCCTGCGCACGGTGGAACTGATCACCGCCGATGACGGCGCACTCATGCGCAATGCCGCAGTGGTACGCACCGCACACACGACACACACACGACACACAGGAACTCATGGCACGACACACGCAATCCCACCCCCAGATGGGCGCGTATCTGAGGGACGGTGTGGAGGCGCTCCGCGCGTCGGATGCGGACTTCGCCCGAGTGCTCACGGCTGTGCGGGGCGTGGGCCTGATGCTGGGCATCGAGTTCAGCGGGAAGCGCGAGACCTTCGGCCATTCCTTCCTCGGCGTACTGGCCCAGCAGAAGATATTGGTACACGACACGACACACGCGACAGACGAAACACGCACAACGCACGACACACGCGATACACACAGCATGCGTGTGCGACGGTTGTTGAAGGAAAGGTGGGAACAGAGCGTGATGATTTCGAGCTACATGCTGAACGTGAAGGGCATTCGGCTGGCCAATGCGCTCAACAAGATGAACACCCTGCGCGTGCAGCCGGCGCTCATCGTCAGCCGCGAGGAATGCGACACATTCCTTGGCGCCCTCAGGTCGGTCAACCACTGCCCCCCCCCACATATGCCACTTCCCCATCGCTCTGTTTCACATGCCTGACATTCCAACTTGGCTCCCCAGGGACTGTGCTGGTACTGCTCAAGCACGGCGACGCGGGCGGGCTTATGGCCCACCTGGCCGGGCCGCGCACCAGCGACGACGCCGGCGACGCGAGCGAGGCCAGCACTGATGGGTCGCGATCGGAGCCATCGTCGAGCTCGAGCTCGAGCGGAAAGCGCGTGTTTGTGGTGTGCGCGCGGACGTGGGACGACTTTCGGCGGGTGGACGAGGCCTCGTTTGCCGCCTTCTCGCCGGGCCAGATGCGAACGCTGGCCGCCAAGCTGAGCGCGCTGCTGGTGCCGTGGCACTTCACCAGCGCACAAGGTATGGAACCTTACGGCCTGCGCAGCTAAGCGGCCTCTGACGACCCACGTGTGCGTTGTGCGTTGTGCGTGTGCCGTACAGGACACGAGTTTGTGTTCATCCCGTCGACGACTGAGCAACTCGAGAGTGCGTCGCTGGAGGAGAGCATGGGCGAGATCGCACAGGCGGTGGCTCTCGCGGCTTCCACCACCAGCGAAGCTGTACAGATCGGCCTCGGCGGCGGGCTGAGTCGCGTGCTGGCCCAGGCCGAGGCGCGCACGCTGCTGGACGCGATGGGCGCGGCCCACCCACACGCCCGGCTGAGCCATGGGCTGCCGCCCACAGAGAGTACCAGTGCGTTCCCTGCGGCCTGGTCCGACCCATCGTACTTTCCTCCCGGCTTGTACTAAGGATTCCTCATCGTTAAGCAAACAACAACAAATGTTTTGTTTTATTTGGTGCACACCACGACCACACCCCAACTTGCTATCATATCACAAGTAATCAACGATGAAGCGAGCCGCCACCAGCCACAACACTGCGCGAGATCAGATTTTCAAAATCTTCGATCGTGGGCAGTGGAAGGAGGCCAAGCTGTGCGCACAGTGTGACCGCACCTTCACCAACCGAAGAAGATGGAAGGACAAATTCGCAGAGATCCGGTACTGCAGCGATCGATGCAGAAGCGAGGCGAAATCCCTCAATAACACAACACCCTCAGGCGACTGTGTGTCAAAAAGGGATGTTCCGCTGCCGGGAATCGAACCCGGGGCGCATGGGTGAGAACCATAAATGTTACCGACTACACCACAGCGGATTGGTTAAAATGATGCCTGACTAGGTAGGGAAGCAGGGCCGAGCCTTCACCATGCCAAGTCAAAAGTCCTACACCTGCAAATACCTGTTGCTTGTTCTGAACTATGTGAACTCAGGTTTTGTTGGGATTTTTCACAACATGGTTCATGGTTGGTTGGTGTTCATGGTGGTTGTCCTGGTGCTTTGGTTGCACAGGTTTTTTTGTGGTTGTCTCCAGTTTTTCTTACTTTATAACACCATGTACCTCCCAGGGTGGCATTCACACACTCCACCCTGCTTGACAACCTCAAGTATGACTGCCAGAGCAAGCCAACACCACTTGCTGATGCTGTCCCCCACATCCCTTCCAGTACAGGAGGGTGTTGCAAAGGTGCAGCAGCCCAACTGCACCCTGTGACAACATAAAGGGGAAAAACACCACCCCAGGGCCTGTGGTGACTCCAGGAGACCAATGGCAAGAATTGAGCCAGCCACTTGACTCATGGGTATTCTCTGTGGCAATGGCAAGATGGAAGCCAATCACCCACAAACCAAGTGTTCATGAAAAAGGTGCCAGATAGTTAGTGAAAACATGTCACAGACCCTTTTTTGTGAACTCCTTCTCATCTGCAGTATGAGCACCACCATGTGTACTTGTAAATGAAACTAGTGGCAGACCAACTGGGGTGGTTTTTGAGGGACATGTATGTGACTGCTGTGCCACACAAAAAACAAAAAAAAACAACCAATCAAGAGCAGGAGACCCCACTCAAGAAACAGCCACCTCAAGCAAGAACAGCAACTGCATTCTTTGAAGTGAAAGTCACTTGGCTCCTTGGTGTGTGCCCCACAGTCAACCAGTTGGTGTTTTGTTATGCTGTATGTGGCACCATGACTGAAACCTCTAGGAAGTGGATGGGACATGCCATGTGCACACACCTGATGTTGCTTGGCTGATGGTGATGTGCTGTTCTGGGTTCTGAATCCTAACACCAACTCTTGCACATAAAAAAATGTGCATGCCACAAAAGTGCACAGCAAGCAGGGCAAGTGACTTCTCCTAGTGAAGGCAAATAGCAATATCCTTGATCTGCTAACAATCTTGGGCAAGTAGCAGTACATGCCCACTCTGACAGGTCACAAGTGAGCATGCTAACTCCTGGAGGGGCATGCAAAGTCACAGTCAAGGGCCTATACAACTGTCTCGGCCCTGCTTCCCTACCTGGTGATGCATCATTTTAACCAATCCGCTGTGGTGTAGTCGGTAACATTTATGGTTCTCACCCATGCGCCCCGGGTTCGATTCCCGGCAGCGGAACATCCCTCTTTTTTGTTTTAAAACTCCCACTTTGTCAATCTCACCTACACACGAGTGAGTGCGTTGTTTTGGCTTTGGTCTGTGGGTGCACTGCAACTGCCCAGAAAGGAGACAACGAACTTTACGGGCGGTTTCGGTGTCTTCGCCATTCGCCAGAGAAGGATAAATATTTAATGCACGGCATGCTTGTGATAATCTGACCATCTTCCTGTCTGATCACCAACCACCACCACTAAGCCAGGACCAGCCCGGAGGATAGGGCGAACTCACGCCAACCGCAACCGCCAGCGGTGCAGGGCAGCAATCGCACCCCGCGGTGGTGTGTTGATCACGTGGTGGTGGTGCTGGTGGGCTGCTCCACGACTCGCTTTGCCACGTAGGCGCGTGATGCAACGAAGATGACGACGACGTTGACGAGTAGAGAAGGTCGGTGATTGGGCTGCGCTGTGGTGTGTAGTCGGGTTGATGGTGATGGTGTTGGGGCTGGTGCTGGTGGTTGGGGTAGTGCGGGCTGGGCCAATCATCGATGGCCGGGTAGAGGTGGCGGAGCGACGGAGCGGAGGAGTAGGAGAGTAGTGTGGAAGAGGTGGTGGTGGAAGTGGTGGCGCAGGGTGGAGCCATCGCAATGCAGCCGCTGCTGCTGCTGGGCTCGACCAGGTCGGCCATCTCGCCCAGCGAGCTGAAGAAGCTGTCGACCCACGACAGGACCGGCGGCAGCGACATCGAGTTCGACGTCGATGTGGTAGTCGACGAGAAGACGGGCGAGGACAGCGTCGACGACGACGACGACGACGAAGAGGCCGAGGGCAAGTGCGGCGAGATGGACGGGTCGACAAGGAACGACGATGACGAAGATGACGCCAGCGTGGGCACGAGGTAGGTGTTATTGGTGTTGGGGCTGTGCTCGAACTCGCGCGACTTCCACAGGCTCTGTGTCGACACGGCGGCCGGGTCGTGCACGCCGCTGCAGTCGCACTGCGCATCGGCGCAGATGAGCGGCAGCGAGTGATGGCGCGTCGTCGTGGTCGTCGGCACGGGCGGCGGAGGTCTTACGGGCCACGGCTGGTGCGTGGTCGGGGCCGACGGCGGGTAGGTGGTGGTCGCGGCTGGGGCCGTTGTAGGCCTGGGGTGGACCGGTGTCGGGGCCGCCGAGGCCAAGTTCGCTGCGGTCTTCGCTTGTCGTGGTCTGTCGCTTTCGTTCTTTGTCGTTTTCGCTTTCTTCGAAGAAGCCGAAGACGGACCGCTTCCGTTCTTTCGCGACTGAGCGGGCGGGGAGGTGGCCGCGGCCGCGGCGGTCTTGGCGGCGGAGGCGGCCATGAGCTGTCGCTTGCGCTTGCGGAGACCGCGCTTCTCCCTCCGTTCGCGTTCCTTCTCGGCCTCAGAGGCGGCCTGCGGGCTTGTGGCCAGCTGGCGCAGGAACGACTGAATATCGCCCTGGACCGACCCCGCACCTCGCAAGAACAGTTCGCCCAGGGTCGGCTCGCGACTTGCGGCTGCAGCAGCAGCCAGCTGCTCGGCCAGCGTCGGGTTCGTAGACGTCGTCATTCTTTTTCTGTGCTTCGCTCTTCGTTCTTTTTCTCTTCAACGTTCGCCTATCACTTTCGTTCTTTGAGCTCCGTGGCCGGTGGTGGGGCGAACAGAGCTCAACGTTGTGCGCACGCGCTTGTCTCGAAGCTGGGCTGAAGTGCAAATCCGTCCTACTAGGCCTGGGCTTCTAGACACAGCTGGTTAGGGTCCAGATGCAGCCGGTGTTGAGGGTTGAGGGTGTCTTCTCTGCTCTGCGTTTTTCCAGTGGTTTGCGCAGACCGGCGCAGTGGATTGCTGGCGCGAGCGAACCGTGCGCATGTTGGCTAGACCGATACTCGTCAAGATGAGGGATGGATGAGTACGCGATGACTCACGGCCGCAAAAAAAACGTCAGTCGGAGTTGGTTGCTTGGGTGCCTGGTGGCTGCACGTGCGCTCCGCCAATGGCCGGAGAGCTGCCCCGGAGAAAATTGGCGCGGGGATGGGCAGTCCGCTAATCCAGATACGCCGATCCAAGCGGGTGCAACCACGTCACCTGTTGCACAAAGCCTCATGTAAGGAAGCAGGCGCACTTACCAATTCTTTCTTTTGTGTTTCTCTATCTTTAAATTTAGTTATTATTTATATGTCCGCCCGCAAACCAGGCGAACAGCGGCGAGGGCACCGACACCCCGAGCGATGGCAACGCCGCAGCATCAGCTGCCGACATCGACGATGACGACGACGTGGCAGCCGCGGTGGTTGTCATCGTTGGTGTTGGCCGCTGCGTTCGTGTCTGGAGCGCGTGCCGCGCGCTCTCGGGGTAGAGCAGCAGGAGGTCCGCCAGGCCACCGGGCGACAGCCGCGGCCCTTGATCGTCGTCCACCAGCGTCAACGCTCCCCCGCGCGGGCTCTCCGTCGTCGCCGACATGTTTGGCGGTGCAGCGGCTGTTCGGCAGATCTCAGCGGAGGTGATCATCGTCGCTTCATCTCGGTGGCCGAAGCGAGAAGTGTACGAGTTCGTCGCCACCGCGGCTTCGCTGGCGTTGGCCGAAGGCTCCGAGTACTGATGATAGTAGGTCTGCTGTTGCTGGCGGTGGTGGATCTGGTGTTGGTGATGCGGCTGGTGGTACTGTTGCTGTGGTGGTTGTTGTAGTTCGTGGCCGAGCGTTGTTGTAGGGTCCAGCGGCGAGTCTTCGAGAGTGCAGTCCCACTCGAGGCACGCTACGGGGTCACGCCCAAGCGCTGCCATTGTCGATGTCGCCGCAGAGCTGGCCGACGGGGCTGGGTTCGGAGGTCGTGACGCGGTTGGCAGTGTGCTGGCGCCGGCCTGATAGGGCGGCGATGCCGGGTGGTGGTAGAGCTGGTGATCTTGGTGTCGCGGGGCCTGGTCCCACGAGGGATGATGGATGGAGTTGCGATCTTGGTGCGAATAAGGAGACGGCGGAAAGTGATGGGCGCGATCAGGCCGAGGAAGAGCAGAAGCAGAAGCTTCGACCGATAGCGGCTCTTGATCGCCGCCTGAACCGCCAGCGTGCGCCGGGTACGAGCCGAGATAGGGCGTAGTGGCCGCGGACGACCAGTGCGGCGGCGGCGGCGGCTGGTGGTGGCCACCCACCAGTGTCGCGTTGTCGAGCGGAGACTTTTGAGCGAACGCCGGGGCGGTGGTGGGCAGACGCGGGAGCGAAGACGAAGACGAAGACGAAGACGAGGATGGCGCGTAGAAGCCGGGGTCGTAGAAGGACGACGGCGGCGAGGGCGACGTGGTGGAGGCGTAGAGCGACGAGTTGGTGTTGGTCCACGATCGAACGAACGGCCTAGGCTGAGGGTGGTAGATCCCGCCGTAATGGTCCAGCGCCGCGCGGGTCATCCACGCCTCCGTCCCGTTCTCGCTTCGCTCTTTCGCCTCAGGCGCCTTCGTTCTTTGTCGCTTTCGTTCTCTGACTGCGTCCGGGTGTATCCCGGAGAGCCCGTCGCTTTCGTTCTCTTTTTCTCGCTCATCTTGGTGGGATCCCAATGCCGGGGGCCGGGGGGGAGGACTGGGACCGCGGAGGCGGGCTCGTCGCTGCCGCTTGACCAGGCGGCGGTAGAGTCGCTCCCGCTCGCGCTGCTCCTCGTCAGTGACGCGCGGGCTCGAGGTGAGGCCCTGCAGATAGCCGAAGAGGCTCTCCCGCTCTCCCCTGGCGCCGGTGGTCAGCAGGGCCGCCCACGACGATGACGTGGCGGGAACGAGGCCTGTGGAGTCGGCCCCTGACAGATTGTTCGAAGATGAAGATGATGCAGAGAAAGATGCCGAAGAAGATGACAACGTCGGAGATGTAGAAGAAGAAGAAGAAGTCGGCCGAGTGTGTGACGGAGAGGAAGGAGATGAACGAGTGGTCATGTCGCACAGCTTTGGTTCGTTACTCGTAACTGGTCGTGTGTGGAAATGGGAGGGAAGTGTTCGGGCTGGCCCGAAGAAAGCGTTTGTTTGGTGTCTCCTCACGACTCGAGCTGGTCGTGTGCTGTGGTTGTGCTTGAGCCCGAGCGCAGGCCTCGCCCACGGTCACTTCCGGTGTGTGTACTGGCTTTGGGTGCGGCGGCGACAAGCTTCACCGACTGCGCCAATCCCCTTTGACGCGAAAGCTAACGAGAAACAACAGGAAAGCTCCAGGGCGCCTTGGGCCTCGTTCACGGCACCCCCCCCCCTCCACGGCCTCCTCTCTCCAGGAGAGCCATTGCGCGCGGCCGCACCCGTGTGGCGGGTACCGCGGTAGTCGCCCTCACGCGCGCTAATCGGGTGCCAAGCCCAAGCAAAGGAGATACGCGCCTCGTCTGACCCCGTGGTCACCTCAGCGGAGGGAACGGCAGAATTGGCCTCACAAGGAAAGCACACAACGCAACACGAGCGAAGAGCGGAGGGGGATCGCACACGGACCCTGGCTTGATGAAGCGAGTGAAGCGAATGAATGAATTTGTGCAGGTGTTTAGTGGTGACTACGACTATGGGACAGAAACGACAGACAAACGGAGGGAGAGGCGGGAGAGGAGGAGGAGAAGAAGAAGACACTCGCGCGTCGCGGTCTGGACTGACGATGGCGGCAAGGCCTTCGCTCGAGCGGTGCTGTAATGATTGCCCGCGCATCTCTGAGTCTCTGTTTACTCGGGTCGCGGGTAGCCCAGGGCAATTTCGTTGTACGTCCACTCAGTGGCCAGCGAGTAGGGCTCCGACACGACGACACCCTCTGCCGTCACCTAGGTACAGAGATTAGAAACAAACAAAGATAAGAAAACCAATATATCAGCGCGATGTGTGCTGTGGCTGTGCTGGGGAGGGAATGGGGGAGCGAACCTTGGCCAGCTGGATCTTGTTGATGGTCCTGGCGTCGCGGTAAAACATCACGCGCATGCAATCCTCCAGCACCTTTCGCGCCTCCTCCTCGGAGAGGTCGGGCCTGTAGGCCTTGCGCATCAATGGCCTGGCGATGTGCGCACCGTAGCCCGTGGCGAGGGTGCTGTCCTGGAAAGCCGTGCCGTAGAGATCCACCTGACCGAGGAAGCTATTGCGCCACGACGGAAGGTAAATAACCAGCTGGTGACCAGTCCACATGACACGCATGCAACGCACACGACACACACGACACGACCAATGAAACACGGCATAGAGAAAAGAGGTACCTCTTGCCATCGCGGAAGCCGGCAAGGATGTACTGATTCCAGAGAGGGTCGAACTTGTTGCGTCGGCCGTACATGACGCGACTGAGGAAACGTTTGGCGATGGTGTGTGTTAGCGCGGGAGACGAATAAAGGAAATGTATACCGTGTGTGTGGAGAGAGAGAGAGAGAGGACTGCATACCCCAGGTAAGAGAAGATCTCGTGCGGGTGCAGCTTGGCGCCGTCCTCATAGGCGTGATCCCGATCACTATAAACGAGAGTAGGTGTATAGTTAGACAAGGCAAACGGCCAAGCAGGCGTGAGTAGCGTGGGAGCCGGAAGTGTGGTGTGTCAGTTGCGAATGTTCTACTCACGGGAGTTGTCATACTGCAACATCATGATTCAACATCATCCACTGGTGGCTGTGTTTGTAGCGGTGTGTGGATGGTCTTCACCTCGCGGCTGTGTACGCTGGGGGTGGGGAGGAAGAGGTATGGGGGCGTACATGAGCTCGTCAAGCATGACCGAGGTGGACTGGAAGTCAGAGTACTCGCCCGAGGCACCCAGAATGGTGTACTCGCCCACCTTCTTGATGCGCGAGCACGATCGGAATCGAGCAAGCGAACCGTACGACACTGTGGCATGATTGCGCAAGCGTGAGCGGCAAAACACTCGATTTCACGCTCAGATCTGTCGCGACGTTGTGCAAGATAAGAGGGCATCCAGGCAGGAGGGTACCAAGAGTATCGGCAGTAAGCATCACGCCGTCCTTGTACTGGATGGCAAGCACCGAGGTACCAGTGGTAATGGGGTCCCTAGATGCAAACAGTTGAGATAGCGAATTAGATTGGAGAGATCTAGGGGGCATTCAAAGGAATCAATGCAGCATCGCGATTACGCGTGACAAGTAAATGGAGTGACGTACAGGGTCCTCGTGCTTGGGCCGGTGACGGGGGCGATCTTGTCAGCCGCAGCCTCGGTCCACAGCTGCTTCATGTCCTTCCACGGGTCGAGCGAGTTGGAGAAGTCCAATCCATAAGAGGGGGCATTCGTGAAGCGGTGCTGCATCTTCTCTATCTATCTATCTTCTCTAATTGATTGCTTTTGTCTTTTGTTTGTTTCGATGCTCGCGCGATCGCCAGCACAGCCACACGCCACACAGCAAAGCGTGAGTTGGGCGGTGAAAAATTAACAGAGCGGATGACGTCAGCATGAAAAAATCATTTATAAACTCATTTTTTCAGCCCTAGATGGTGAGTGTGAAATACAACTGAGGCTTCACTTCTGGAAGGTGTTGCTCTCGTCGAGGTTGCCGCGGTACCTGAAGTGGGCGTTACGCTTGAGTCGGTCTTCCATGTTCGCCACGCCATAGGCCTCCTTTTGCACGTTGCTGCATTGTGTTACGCGGAGAAGGCGAACGAGTCAGCAATCGCTCACGTAAAAGCAAGAGAAAGAGACGAAGGTTACGAAAGAAAGGTTGGCGTACTTGAGGAAGGTGAGATCGTCGCCCTTGCGGCTCTCGTAGTCCTTCTCCTCCTTGGACTTGGTGTCGCTGTAGGTCTTGAGGTTGCGCATCCGCCGCTCCTCGTTGTGCCCGGCGTCCTGCTGCATCTCCTCCAGCTTGCGCCGGCGGTCCTCCTCGTTCAGCCCGCGCAGCTCGCGCTCGCGCTGAATCCGCTCCTGTCGTCGGGCCTTGGCCTCGCGTTCGCGCTCCTCCCGCTCGCGCTTCCGCTGCACCGCGGCCTCCTTCTGCACCTGGACCAGGTCCTTCTGCGGCGCGATGATGGTCGCCGACGCGCGCTCGCCCGCGGCCGTCACCAGGCCGTAGCCCTCCCGCGCCTTCTTCTCCACGTACTCCTGGTGCTCGCTCGAAGCTGACGCCGACGCCGAAGCTGACGCCGCTGGCTTGCTGTCGCCGTTGGCGGCCGTCGACTCGGGAGAGCTCCTGCTGCGCTTCCGGTCCTCTCCGTCCCTGTCGTCCCTCGCCTCCCTGTCTCTCCTACGGCCGTCCCTGTCCCTCTCCCTGTCGTGCTCTCTGTCCCGGTCCCTCCTGTCTCGGCCGCTGTCGCGACCCCTGTCCCTCCTTCCGTCGCGATCCCGGTTGTGCTTGTCGTGATGGTCTCGCTCGCGCTCCCTCTCCCGGTCCCGGCCCCTGTCGCGGTCTCGGCCGTGCTCGTGATCGTGGTCTCGGCTGCGTTCACCGTCCCTCCTCTCCCTGTCTCGCTCGCGTTCCGGCTGCTGCTCGGCCTTGTGGTGACCAACGCGTTCGCCCGCGGCGTGGCGGTCATCCGACTCGTCATCGAGCCTCCTCCTCTTCCTCTCGCCGCCGCCATCCACCTCGCTCCTCTCCTCCTCCTCTTCGCCGCGGCTCCTGCTCCGCTTCTTCTCCCTCTTGGCCTCCTTCTTGGCCCGCTTCTTTTCCTTGCGCTCCCGTCGCCGGCGCGCCTTGTCTGAGTCGTCGCCGCCGTCGCCGTCCAGGTTGCCGTCGAGCCACGCCTTGGCCTTCTTCTTCTCGAGCTTGCGCAGCTTCTTGGCCATCTTGCGCTCCTTCTCCATGCCCAGCAGCCGGTCCTTGATGCGCTGCATCTTGGCCGGGTTCTTGGTCACCACCTCCTTGGCCTCCTTCTCCTTGCGCTTGATCTCGAGCAGCGGGTCCTCCCTGATCCTGTTCCACGCCTCCTGCTCGGCGCTCACCTTCTTCTCGTTGTCGAAGAGGCCCAGCCCTGCCGAAGCCTATTACGAAGTGGAAGGAGTATGTCAGCTGACTGCGTGGCACTGGTGTGTATGTGTGTGTGTGCGTGTGGTGCGGGTTGCGCGCACCTGTGCCGAGGCAGGCTCGGCCTGTTGGGCTTCCGGCTTGGCGGCCTGCTCGATCTGTGCGTCGGTGGCGGCCCTGCCCTTGAGGAACTCATCGCCCGAGGTCTGGGTCAGCAGAGCCGCTCCCTCGTACATCCAATCGAGCCTTTCCTGTCGTGGTCTGTCAGTTCAAATTAAAGAACAAAATGCCCCATGCTGCGTCAGCGGCGTGAATGAAATCAAATGCGATGTAGGGGAATGAGATGCAATTGAATGGGCTAATCGGAGGGAGCACGTACTTGCTTCGAAGATTGCCAGTGTTCTGGACTTTCCTGAGCTCCTCGATTTGACGTTCCTCTTGGAGCTTCCTCTTGAGCTCCTGCATCTTGCGCCTCTCGGCTTCGGCTTCCTGTTCCACCTTCCATACCTTCTCGACGTTGGAGAACTTGGACGGATGCCAGCTCTTCTTGTTCAGGAAGTCCATCTTGTCCTCTTCTTGTGATGCGGCCGATTTGATCAAACCCTAAAAAGAAAATCAGTTTTTAAATACAAGAGAAAAAACGCGACTTTTTCTGCGTACAAAAGAAAGAGAAGGAAATATGAAATCGAAGAAAAGGAATGTTCCGCTGCCGGGAATCGAACCCGGGGCGCATGGGTGAGAACCATAAATGTTACCGACTACACCACAGCGGATTGGTTAAAAGAATGCAGTGCATTTCAAGAAACAGCAAAAGGCGCCATCGCTGCGGGTTGCGCTTCGGCGACAACACAGAACAACCCAGGGCCTTCGTTGGCTCAGTCAAATAAAAAGAGAAAACGACCTTGCCAGCGAAAGAAGCAACATGAAGGGAGTACTTTCACTCTTTTCCTCGGAGAAGATCGCTCTTGACACCCAGAACTGCAAGCGTGTAGATGACTACGCCAATGTACGTAGTTCCTTCTTTGCATTTGTTTGAAGTTGCGGCGCGCTCGGGGGGGGGCACGCGTTCCCAGTTCGTCGTCTTCGCTTTCGCCCCCCCCCCTCCTCAAGGCTAATCTTTTTCGCGATCGTCCACAGGTGATCGAATCGCTCAACGTGAATCTCAAGAACATCCAGAAGAAGGGCCGCGGCTACCAAAAGTCTGAAGCGGGTACGCTCATTCTTATTTTATTGAGGAATTAATTAAATTTTTTAGTTAATATTTGTTTTTTTGCCGCAGCACACATCGATGAGGAGCGTTCGCTGCTGGGCGACAACATGATGGAGCTGGGCCGCATCTTCAAGGCGGCCTACGACGATCCCCTTTCCATCCTTCTCGGTACACTCGCTCTCCTTTCCGAGCGTACGTCAGTTCTCGTCTGACCCCGTGAGGTGACCGACCTCATCTCCCGACCAGGCGAGTGCGTCACTGGCTTTGCTGAATTCCAGCGCAGCTTCAGCGACGCCAGGAGCACCCTCGTACCGCTTTCGCTCTTTTCGCTCTTCGCTCTTTCTCTTCGTCTTCGTTCTTATGTCATGTCGCCGACGAGTGCACATTGGTGTGGCCGTAGGAGGGCGCCTTCGACAGGGGAGTGATGAAGGCTGTCGACGCCTACATCCTCGAGACCGAGAAGGCCAAGGTACGAACACGCACGGCCGCACGCACGCACGATCACCGCACGCACATGGGCGTGGGCACTAACAGTGAGCGATCTTTTGTCAAACAGGAATTGTTGAAGGAGCACCAGAAGAAGATCGACGCGTACGGCGCGGCGAAGGCCAAGACCGCCAAGGAGAAGGCGGCCAAGAAGCAGAACCCCATCAAGGTGGTTGAGGTACAGCCCCCCCCCACCCGCACGCGCCTGCACGCTTCTGACGTGTGTGTGTGTGTGTGTGTGAATAGGCCGAACGCGAGGAGTCGTCGGCCAAGCAGGTCCTGGAGGACAGCGAGCGCGACGTCCTGAACGCGCTCCAGCAGGTCCTTAAGAAGAACAACAAGGAAATGCTCGCGGTGGTGACGTCGGCCTACGTGGCGGGCCTGCAGGCGTTCTTCGCCACGGG